GTCAGTTGGGGCTTCAACAGTGATGCCAATCCTTATTCTTAAATAAGATGTCAGTGCCTTGAGAGCATCTGGGAAGAATCAAGGAGAGCACTTCAGTGAAGGATAAGATCTGGTATAAATTGTTAAATGAGCTCTTTAAATCTCCAAGTCCCAGCTACCTTCTAAAAATTGAGGAAGTCGAAATAGATGTTCTCAAAATAAATTTGCAAAATGGAACAGGCAAAAGGTGTTGAGTAGTAAGTGGCCTGCAATCCTAGAAATTTAAACTCCTTTTCCTCTACCCCACGCCAGATTATTTCCTCCCTTGACGTTTGAGTAGAGAACAGCTACCCACAGGGTATCTCTCAGACATTTTGAGTATCTTACGGACTTGATGAATCACATGATAATTGCTTACCTAATGCTCACCTACCAGCCCCTTCCTGAGTGAAAAGCATCACGCCCTAATCATTAGCAGACTCTAAAACCCAAAACCCATTCCTTGGTGGTAGTCCTTTGCTTTAAAAAAAAAAAAAAAAGGCTAACAGATTAAGAAATAAATATGTTAAATTACCTCATTTAAGAGACTAATGGACTTTGAAAGCCCTTTTCTCCAGCTCTGACTTAAAATCTGGTACAGTCTGTTCAAGATCTATTCTTTGTGCTTCTCATAGAAGGCATTCACTTGCTCAGTTTCAAGTCCCAGTTCAACTCTTTTACAAAGTATCTTTTTCATAAGCAACAGAAGAAATCCAAACTGTATTTGCCTTCCTCAAAATTTGTATATGGTCTGTGTATTAGTTACTACTAGTAGTAAAGTGTTAAATTGTCTGAATTTGATCACCATATTGTGGTTCTCTAAGACAATGTCCTTGTACTTCTGTGATGCATGCTCAAATATTTAGGTAAATGATCATAGTATCTGCAATCTAAAAAACAACTGGCAAACTATAATTAATGAATAAAGATTAGGCATATGTATGTGTTTAATGTATTACTATTGCAGTTTTTCTGTGGGTTTGTAGTTTTTACAAAATAAAGATTCAAACAGAAGCATAAAAACTAATTTGCCTTCTTGGCTAGAGTTGAGTAACCATCCACACTGGACCCCTCACCTTTATTTTCAAAAAACTGCTGCCTTGCCTGACTGATGGGCAAAATAAAAAATATAGTGCCTAACAGAGGAAATACTATGACTTGTTATCACATATATGACTTACACGCTTTGGGTCTTTTTCTTATCAGTCTACCCTGTACCTTGAGAAGACTTCACCCAGTTACAATGCAATAAATAAACTTAGTTTATATAGGCCAAGGAAGTTATTTTTCTAGTGATAATGTTAATAGTCCACCCTAGGGTAGGAAGTAGGGAAACTATATACCTCATTATCTCATATGCTCTTTCTGGCCCCTCCAAGTCATTATTTACAGTTGTTCTTCAAAAAAGTAATTATAGGGGTTCCCCGGTGGCACAAGAGGTTTAAGCACAGCACTGTGAAGCTATCCGCAATCTCTGCAGCACAAGTTCGATCCCTGGCCAGCCAGGGAGCTACCCATATGGCATAGCAGACCTCTCCTGTCTGGCACACTGCTCCCCTCAGCAGTGTATTTCAGTCAGTCTGCCTGTTCTGTTCCCCACTCTGTCTCTGGTGAATCCTCTCAGTCCCCAGCATTTCTGGCCTGTACTCCAGTTCTTGTATGCATAAATAAATCTTTAAAAAAGAATAATAATTATTCAAGCTCACTGAGTAGCCTGGCCAAGCAAAGCAATTGGTCACCTTGCTCTTTCAAACTTTCCTTCACTACTTTTCTCATATTACACCGTCTGTGATAATTTCGGTGTAATATGCAGATTTTTATCATATATTCTTATCTTTATTGGAATATTGATATGCTAAAACTTCAACAGAATTGTTAATTAGGTGGGGAATTACATTGAATGCTTTTGCTGTATCTATTAAAAGCTCACTGGTCACTTTCTCTGACGTTCAATGTTCTGTAAATCTCAAATGCACTGGCTGAGTCTTCAGGGACATCTCTGCCTTTGTTTAACAGTACAAGCTGCTACAAGCTGTCTTCAGGCAGGCTGTACTGTTAACATAATGTACCCAAGAAATATTGCCACTCCCACTGCTCTGGGCGACATTCCTGCAGCTCATCTCTTTGTGCAAATGACTGCTACTGTCTTCTCCCGGACATTTATTTTTCTCATGGAGATTTGATGCCTTTTAGATAATGATAAATCTGTCAGCCAGGGTTCTCCCACCCCTCAGACCCACTGAGGATTTCCAAGGCTCCTACCAGAGTGTGAGGGCTACACTGGAGCCAGAAGCTTCAAGGACTGAATTCCATCAGGCCAGAGACAGACATACACACACCAAAGGATGGAGGGAGGAGCAATGAGATCAGAGAGCACCCCAAAAACATCCCAGAGATAAAATCTGTCCCCTAGTCCTCCACAATGACCCAGATACCTTCTGAAACTTCTCCAGAGCAGAGATTCTTAAATTGGGGCCCCTGGACCCTAAGGGAATCTATGACAGGGCTTCATAAACTCCCTACTAATGTACATAAAATGACTATACATACATTATTCTGGGGAGCAGTCTTCGTTGTTTCCTATGTTTTTTTAATCTACTCATTGGAAGAATCTTCACAGCTCTATGCAAGTGTCCATGTTGGAGTTACTGGGACAGAGAGAAGGGCAGTTAGGTCAGTTCCGACACAGACAAGCCCTGAATCTCTGACATCCAGTGTATGTGACTGATTGCAAGATGCCAGGTCCAGGAAACGTCTCTGAACTTGCAGACTTTTAATAAACATGCCAACCATGGTCTGGTCCCTGAAAAAACCATTTGTATCTGGATGTCTCAGAGACAGACCCAGAAGAGAAAAAATACACAAGCTTCAGAGTCTAAGGTTACCTGCATCCATCTCTGGTCCCAGGCCAGGCCTCTGGGCAGGAAGAGGGGATGGGAGCCCTTCTTAAAAACAAGTAGTCAATAGTTCCAGCACTTAAGAGCCTATGGCCAGAAGGGCTCATCCAATCCCTGCAGAAATGGAGGACTGGTCGCTATTGCCATTCACTCTGCATGCATCATCTAAGGCACAAGGTCTCCCTGACTTCTGAAATAACAGTGTCTGCAGAGGGAAGGACTACAACTGGCTCAGAAAATGGTGTGTGTGTGTGTGTGTGTGTGTAAAGATATAGATATATAGATATAAATGTCCTGGAAATACAAGGTGCTTTGAATACAAGGGGTCATTTAGATAGTAGTTCTCAAACAAGAGTTTGAGTAAAGATGGTCCTGAATGGTTGTTTTATAATACAGATTCGTAGGCCCAGGATATTTTGATTCAGTGGCCCTAGGTAAAAGAAGCCCTGGTGTGCATAAGGGGCCACAGACAGAAATGAAAAATGTTAGGTAGTAACAGGTGGACAAAAGGGGCTTCAAAGGAACTGACTATCCTCAGAGAAATCAAAAAATGCAAAGGAAAGCTTTAGGTCTGCACCGGCTCAAGGTGCCTGGGGGTCGATAGCTCCAGCTGCATGAATTATAATTATATATATATATATATATATACACACACACACACACACAATGAGTTTGATGCACCAGAACCAAGTGAATTTTGGATCCCAGGATCCTTTACGGATTATTAGACCCTCATTTTGTAAAGGGGAATAACAATTTTACTGACCCCACAGAGTAACCTACAGTGAGAAGTAAACAAAATAATTTGAAAAAAGTACTTAGCATAATGCCAGACACCTAGGAGTTATACAAATGTTAGCTACTATAAACATTAATTACTACTAATTATGATTATATCCACGCGCACCAAGAAACCACTGTGACAGCTTGCTTATTTGTAGAAGACACAGAGGTCAAATGTGGTCTCTAAGCATTAGGAGTTAAGGAGAAAGAGAGAGAGAAAAAGAGCGAGAAAGAGAAAGAGAGAAATAAGTTACTCTTAAGGGATTAGGGATTTTTTGGTGCTATTTTTTTGCTTTTTGACAAGTTCAAGAGCAACTAGAGTCATATCCCCAAACAGATAAACTATTTGATCAAAAAAACTAAACCTTTAGATTTCCCTTTACCTCTAGTTCTTACATTGTCCAAAACCCAACTTTATCCACCTAGTCCATCCAAATACAGTATTTTTATTATTTTTATTTTATTTATAAATGTCATTTTTTTTCTGAGGGGGAATGAAGAGATGAAGTTCTGTGCAACTTTTTCATTAAACAACTACCTCTTTGTGCATCAGAACTGACTTTGTGACTGTTAGCTGAACAGGAATCCTGATAGTTTTCAGCTACGTGAGAGAAATGTCCCAAACAAATGAACTTTATTTTCAGACAACAAATCCAAGCAGTCCAACAAGTTCTGACAGCTGAACCATGATGAACATACAGCTGAGTATTTTCCTCACCAGCCAGGAACCCCTGATACAGGAAGAAAACCCTACCCTTTCTAGCCCCTCATCTAACCTGTTTGCTCAGAGAGAACTAATGAGACAGACTTCCTGAGAAGAGAGCACTTGAGTGGCTTGGAATAGAAAAAAAATGACACAGACAGAAGAAGCTAACTCTCCCCATGAAGGCGGGAAGGAAAAGAATATTACAGAACAGATTAAAATCAGAGAGCAATCGGTGCCTTCAGGATAAACAACAGCATTAATAAATGTGCCTATTTATAGAGCCCACTCCAGATGCTCTGATGAAAGAGTCTCACATGCCTCCAGGGAGGGAAATAAATGCAAGAACAGCAATGCATTACTAGCTCTCTGCTCCCAGATCCTGTGCTCGGTCAGTCTGGACACAACTTTGTTCCAATTAGGCAGACTTGATATGGATCCTGGACCATGTGCATCAGATATGTCCCAACCACCTTCACCAGAGAACACATCCACGACAAATCCAAATTCCTAATTCCTGAACTACTTAAAGTCACCCAACATGTGGCTACTCAGAAGTAGAACAAGCTTTGCTTAAACAATAAAAAAAAATTTTAAGTAAAAGATACATATTTTATTTTGAGAAATAAGCGTTCTCAAGCAATCCAGAATAGAAGCCAGGAGTTTACTTGAAGCAACCAGCCACACTTGCTGCAGAAGTTCAGGTGCTGCAGAATCACTTTGGCCAGTGCTTCCTTAGATGCTCTTTCAGCTGAGGAATGGAGGGGAGCAGCTGCTGGCACTCATGACAGCGGAGGGGCAACTTCAAGAGCTCAGATGTCCCATCTCGGACAGTCACTCTGCCAGTCTCTTGGACCATCTCGATAACAGCTGCAGGCAAGGACAAAAAGTTCAGAGCCAAGCTAGTCTAGAAAGCCAATATAGATACCAAAACCCAGAAAACCTGACTCCAAATAAAAATATGACAGGTATTCTAACACTAGTACACTCACTAGTGGAAAAATGGGCTTGCTCAGATTCTAAAACTTAGCAACCTATTTTTTGAGATGCTTACATTCCTTCAGGATAGCTATAAGCCATCCATGTTACTATGTCAGAGGCTTATCACAGTGTTCTACCCCTGGTTGGCCCTTGGGCAAAGGTAGCCATTGTCATGAACATCACAGCAAACTGATGTTCCACAGCCCCAGAGTGAAGTGCCACAATTAACACAGTCTTCTCCTACTAGTTAACCACTTTTGATGAGGCTACCCGAAGTTTCTGCCCAGCTGATGGTAGAAGAGACAAAGAACTCTTCAGAGCTTCCATATCCATAAACACCAGGACGTGTCAGGATGACTTTTAAGTTCCTTGCTGTTACCAAAAAAACCCCCATCATTTTGACTCTGACAAAAGTTTCCAAGGTCCCACAAAAAGTCTGCACATGAGCAAAGTAGTAATTTTACTACTATTCAAATAACCTAGTTCCTTTTAATGTGGCTCTCTTTAAAGGGAATACAAAGTTGTACAGGGAACAACTGCCCCAGGTTTAAGAACATCTGAGAAAATAAAACAGAAGTGAAAACCAAAGAACACTATTTACCTTGTGATTCTAGGAAGTATTCTGTATTGAAAGAATTCCAATGTTTTTTGTTTTTAAGACAAGGAGAATCAAAATCTTGGCTGATTACATGAAGGTGTACATGGCTAGGTGAAAGGGGGAAAAAATGACCATTAAACCCATTATAAACTATGGTTTAATCAAAATGACAAACAGTAAAATTTGGGGTGTGTAAAATACTGATAGTATTTCCATTTAATTCAGTTCCTTTATTCCCTCCTTAAGAATATCCAATATTTATTAAGTATCTACTAGTGCCAAACAATGTTCTAGCTCTGGAATTTAGCAGTGAGCAAAAACAAGAAAGGCCTCTTACCCTTACAGAAATACTATTCTAACAAGGGGAGACAAATAATATATAAACAAATCAACAAGGAAAATGAAAATCATTAATACTGCAAAGAAAAAACTACAGCAGGAAATGGGATAGAGTGCACAAGGGGTTGCCTCTTTAACCTAGCTAGGGTGTTCCAGTGAGAGTGGCGCATATTAAAAAAAACTAGTAACAACAAATGTTGGCGAGGACATAGAGAAAAAGGAACTCTCCTGCACTGCTGGGGGGAGTGCAAACTGGTCCAACTACTATGGAAAGCTGTGTGGAGATTCCTCAAAACCTGCTAAAGAAGGAGCTTCCATATGATCCAGCAATTCCACTCTTAGGGATTTACCCAAAGGACAAAGAAACATTAATTCAAAAGGATACCTACACCCCTATGTTTACTGCAGCACTATTTACAATAAGTAAGCTGTGGAAACAACCCAAATGCCCAAAACCAGATGACTGGATCAAGAAGATGTGGTATATATACACCCAATGGACTATTACTCAGCAATCAAAAAGGATAAATTCATGCCATTCGCAGCAACATGGATGGAGCTGGAAGGGATCATGCTCAGAGAAGAAAGCCAGAAAGAAAAAGAAAAATACCAGATGGTTTCACTTATAGGAGGAATGTAGAGGAACCAAATAAGGGATCAGGGGGAAAAAAAGTAACTATATAAAATAAAATCAAAATCAACAGGCAACTATAGATCAGAGACATTCTGCAGGGGAGGAGGAGGGAGAAGGATTGGGACAGGGTGGGAAGAGCACAAGGGACTATGGTAATGGTGCACGGGTAAATTGGTGGTGGGAATTTTACAGGGAAATCATACATTGTACAAATATGAAGAATGACGTAATAAATACATATTAAAAAAACCTAGCTAGGGTGTTCAGGGAAGTTCTCTCACAGGCAGATTAGAGCTAAGAAAGTGGTCAGACAAGCAAAGACACAGGGAAAGTGTATTTCAGGCAATAGGGAGAATCCTAAACCCCTGAGACCAGACAGAACTTAATGCAACCAAGAAACAGAAAGAAGAGCCTCCCGGTGGACAAGGGGTTAAGTCTCAGCACTAGGAAGCCTATTGGCAGCCACTGCAGCATGAGTTCGATCCCCAGCCAGGGAGGTGACCCACATGGCGCAGCAGACCTCTCCTGTCTCGCCTGCTGCTCCCCTCAGCAGTGTAATTCAGTCAATCTGCTGTTCTGTTCCCCACTCTGTCTCACCCCCAGCACCTCTGGCCTGTACCCCAGCTCTTGTATACATAAATAAATAAATCTTTAAAAAAAAAAAAAAAAAGAAACAAATATGGTACTTCATAAAGCTAAAAAAAAAAAAGTCATATGGATTGGATAGTTACAGTCAAGAGCAGAGACTAGTACGAGCCAGATAATAAAGGGTCTTACAGGTAGGCAAAGGTTTTGTTTATTATTGTGGTTACATTGGGGAGCCATTGAAAGATTTTAAGCAAGGAAGTGTGATTATTTGCTTTATTTTTCTAAAAGATGTTCTGGATATTGTTTGGGGAAAGGACTACAGAGAAGGTAAGGATGGACGGACAGACCTGTTAGGAGGCTGCAGTAGCCCAGATAGTTGAGATGTTGAAAAGAAGCATTGCAATTCTGAATATATTTTAGAACAGAACCAATAGGACTTACTAATAGACTGGACATGGATTTGGGAAGGCGTCACTTACTGAGATGAAGAAGTCAGGACAATAGTATGTTGAAGAAAATCAAGAGTTCTTTTGTGGTCTTGTTAAACCAAGTACTATGCCTTTTTGTATAACTTTGACTTTTCCAATCAGTAATATTTCACATTCCCTCAATAAATAATCAAAACCAAATAGTAAATGCAGGAATCCAAAATGGAATCTAAACAGTAACACATAACCCTAACTGCACTAAAATAAATAAGGGAACCTGAAGGGGTCAGAAAGAAAATAACTAAGAATCTTTGGAAAACTGTTTTGACTGGATCAACTGTAAAACTAAAAAGACCTGCATATAAATATTATGCTCTAGTTAGTAAATGTCTTTTTCACAGGAGAATGGATTAACAATTCTGTAACTATTTCATATGTATGCTAGAAAAACAAAAGTGGATTTATTGTAGCCAATGAGAGTCAGATTTCCCATTGTTTCTCCCATTGGAAAAAGAAGTTACAAGAAAGGAAAGGGAGAAAATGAACCGTGTAGAATTGGACTAGAATCAGTCATTAGTATGAGCTTATGTTTTTCCATGTACATACATCAGTTTTTAAATAAGAATATAAATCAAGAGGTATGTGTAACTATGTGTCTCTATGAGAGGCTTCAGGGCTGTATTCCCTGGCTCTATCTTTTTGTGAAGAAGACCTCAAAGCAATGACAGCTTAGAATCAAACACTTCTCTCATTATAGAAACCTACTCCCCAATTCCTGATTTATAAATATTATTCTCTAATAAAAGGAACGAGGGCTGGGCCTCCGTGGTGGCGCAAGGGGTTAAGACGCAACCTATGGAGCAATCCACAGCCACTGCAGCACCAGTTTGATCCCCCGCGGGGGAGCTGCCCACATGGTATGCAGTAGACGTCTCCTAGCTCTCCTAGCTCTCCTAGCTCGCCCGCTGCTCCCCTCAGCAGAGTATTTAGGTCAATCTGCCTGTTCTGTTCCCCACTCTGTCTCTGGTGAGTTCTCTCTCACCCCCCCATACCTCTGGCCTGTACCCCAGTTCTTGTATGCATAAATAAATAAATCTTTAAAAAAAAAAAAGGGAATAAGGGCTCTTTAGAGAAGTGGATCATTCTAAGGCTAAAATAGGAAAAATATAAGATGGAGACTGGAACATATTATTCCAGAAATCAAGGAATAATGACCAAAAAATAAGGAAGTAGTCAAAAAATGTTGGGGGCATGTAGAAGTGATAAAGGAGTCATCCAAAGAAATTCCAAAGACCAGAGCTGGAATGGAACAATATGAGCAACAAAATAAATAATGACAGACTGAATTGCAATCTATAGAATAAAATCAATGTCCATGAATCCATACTGATAAATAATTGAGCAAATACACAATGGGGAAGCAGGAACAGCTCTTTCATGCAGAAGAATTTTAATTAATATATTAAGGAAATGAGAGAAACATAAAATCACAATTAGATAAATACCAGAATAGTAACTATTGCAGGCAAGATCCACCAACAGATGCAAAACTGAGAAAAGGACAGAATGGTAGCATAGTCTCAACCAGATATTCAATTACAAAGGGAAAAATAGTAACTTTGAGTAGAAAAACCCAGCAGACACCATCTTAGCAAAGTGATCAAGGTTAATACAGGTAATAAACCACCTCAACATCATGTACTCCTATATATGATGCAGAAAAGGATACAGCATCACTTTGGTGGTAGTTTGGGGTGGGAGGAGCCATAATCACAATCTTATCATGGAAAAACATGGACAAACTAAAATTGAGAGACATCTTACAGAACACTAGTCAGTTCTCACCAAAAGTATCGAAGTCAAGAAAACCAGGAAAGGAGGCACTGTCACAAACTTGGGGAGACAATAAATAAATCTTTGTGGAAACTTGGACTGGATACTAGAGCAGAAAAAGACCTTTGTAAGAAAAACAGGCAAAACACTAATAAGGTGTATAATAGGTGGTGATGTTATAGAAGATCTTAGTTCTGCTTCATACTTTTTTATATTATCTAGATAGAAAATATATGACTCTTACAAAAGGTATTTGTAATCTTTTCCTTTCTGTATTTACTCAAAATCACAGCATCGAGTGATCGTAAAAGCATATGTTTCAACTTTTCTTACTACTCATTTTGTGCACCTCCCTTGCCCAACACAGCTCTTGCTTTGGGCATTCTCCTTAGCAACAGCACTCACTATAGGAAAGAGGTACAGGCACTGTGGTTACTATGTGAAATGGGCTCTGCAGACAAGGACTCTGTTAGTCACAGACCCTATAACATTAGGGAAGTAAGATTATAGGTGAATTTCCCCCTAAATTTTCAAATAAGGGTCTAACAGTGATAAAAAAAAAAAAATTTCAATGAGGTACAACATAAATCTCCCCTATGACCTAGCAATTCCACTTCCAAGTATTTACCCAAGAAGAAAAAAATGAAACGTGTCCATGATAAGCACAAAATGCAAGAATCTCAAAATCATTATAGTGACCAATAAAAGCCAATAAGAAAAAAAGTGCTCATTGTGTGATTCCATTCATATGATGTTACAGAAGAGACAATGGCTTGGGAGTTGAGGGGATGAATTGGAAAGCAGTACAAGGGAACTTTGAGGGGTGAGATAGTTACATGGTGCATACATTTGTCAAAACTGATCAAAAAGTAAATCCTACGCATTTTCTGGTATGTAAGCTATGCCTCAATTTAAAAGAAATAGTACTGAAACTTGGCTTAGTAAATAAGCCATAGAGAGCTAATGTATAATAAAATGAATATAGACAATACTGTAGTATAGCCTTCAAACTTGCTAGGAGACTAAAAGAAATTCTGACACAGGCTACAACATGGATGAACTTTGAAGACATTATCCTAAGAAATAAACCAGACAAAAAAACACTCTATGATTCCACTTATATGTGGTATCTAGAATAGCCAGACCTCATAAAAATCAGAAAGCAGAATAGTGCTTGCCAAGAGCTCAAGGAATAGGGGATGGGAGTTCATTTGGGAAGACACAAAAACTTCTAGAAATAGATGGTGGTGATGGTTGCGCAACCATATGAATGTACTTAGTATCACTGAACTATATAGTTAAAGTTGTTAAAACAGTAAAATCTATGTTACATATATTTTACCACCAAAAAAAAAAAATAAAAATTCTGAAATGCAATTAGTCTGTTTATCTTTAAAAAAAAAAAAAAAAAGCAAAAGAAAAGAAAAACTGTAGTAATCCACTTTGATTATAATATTTGAAAAGTATCAAGAATTCCTTTGTGAGTCCTTCTGGGTATATGACCCAAAGGAAAACAAGCTCTACGGTTTGTTCTCATTTTATTTTCTATCTTGGACCTACTAAGTTGTCATGACAGAATCTACAATCTTTGTCTCCTTCAGAGCAGTTTTCCTTAACCACTTGAGAGTTACAGGCGCTTCTGAAAAATCTGGTAAAGTAATGAAGCTGCTTCACCTAGTTCATAGGTTAAGCCCTCAAAGGGTTTAACTTTGAGAGGAACAAAGAACATATTTCATGAAATTACAAACAGAAGTACAAATTTGTGTTCTGCAAGCAAATCAAGCAGAAAGGTAGAAGTTTCAGCCCATCTGCTTTAGAAACATCCCACCCTGCTCCCCTGGGCATCCAGCCTATCAGAACACTCAGCAGGCCCATGCTGAGTACCCTGTCCACCTGGACAGATCCAGGATGTAGCAGCACTTACCTCATGCTGGGAATGGCATGGTATCCCAGTCGGAAGCGGAATTTGCTGGACGCAGCAGAATCTGCAATCACCTTTTCCCCAACACTGTGCATATGTTTGAGCAGTTCAACATGTTCCCTGGTCACGGCCTTCAGACTAGAAATGGAGGCCCATGGTAAGACTAGCCAGTGGTGACGAGCCTTGGGGTATTTATCCTTGATCACCACCACCTGCTCATCTTTGTAAACCTAGCAGAGGGAGACAAGATGGGGACATATAACTAGGGCATGTCTTCTGTGCCAAGAGCTGTCACATTTCATTTCTCCCCACTACAATCTCTTTTTTTTTTTTTTTTCGGTGGGACCCTCGCCGGCGGCTGGGGATTGAACCGGCGCTGCAGAGGCTGCAGGCAGCCTTGCAGCGCTCAACCGCTGCACCACCAGGGGAGGCCCCCCACTACAATCCTGAGTAAAAAGTTTAAGTATCTCAATTGTGACAGATGAGAGGACAGAGACTCACATAAGTTGAGCATCTTATGCATAGTTATTAAGTAGGAATTCTAGGAGCCCACGCCAGAAACAGCTGACTCCAGAATCTGTGTTTTCAACCTCCATAGTACACAGAATGCACAAAAGATGCCCTGCACAAAATAGTTCCTAAGGATCTGATGTAAAATCCCTGCAGGAATAAATTCCAATGCACCCTTCTCCACTTTAACAGCAGTCCATGTGACACGTGCACGTGTGTTCCCAGAAGCCCTACCAGGTCTGGTCCCTTGTTAACCAGGACGTAATATAAGAACTCAAAGACTCCTCCCAGGATGATTCCAGATTATTAATCCCTGGTCAGTCCAGAAACTACAGTCGTAATACATTATTCAAAGCTCCCTTGAAAGGGACTTCATTCTCTACGGCTAACACAACTTCTCTTAATAAATAGTACCCAGAAGCTGAGGAGAAAAAGAACATTCACTTGAAGAACTTAGCTTCTTCCAAAGAATTCCATTTGCTAACTTAATGACAGTGGGAAAAGTCACTTGTTGTCACAAAATAGCTCCCCAAAATGAATCTCATTCAAGACTGACCCCCTTTGATTTCACTTGTAATTACACCCTCTGTGGAGATGTCATTTAAAACAATTTCAGGGCCTCCCTGGTGGTACAGGGGCTAAAGGCAGCACTATCAAGCTACCGCCAGCCACTGGAGCACAAGTTCGATTCCCGGCCGGCCAGGGAGCTACCCACATGGTGCAGCAGACCTCTCCTGCCTCACCCACTGCTCCCCTCAGCAGTGTATTCCAGTCAATCTGCCTGTTCTGTTCCCCACTTTGTCTCTGGTGAATCCTCTCACCCCCTGCACCTCTGGCCTGTACCCCAGTTCTGCATGCATAATTTTTTTTAAAAAATTAAATCTTAAAAAGTAAGTAAATAAATGAAACAATTTCAATGCCAAAGTTTTAATCTAACCTGCATTTTGGGGTCCTGCATGGAAATCTTCAAGCCCTGACTCCAGTGGCCCAATGATTCCTAAAACAAAAAAGAGCAATGTAAATTCAAATGCCAGTTTTAATTTGACATTAATTAATAGTGCAAGTCAGCAAAGTTCAACTAATCTTGGAAACAAGGTTCATTTCTTAAGAACTAAACTAGATCCCTTTTACCTCAATCTTTGCCTTTTATGACCAAAAGCCATTCTCATTTTCTTCTTATATTCAGAGATGTGTGTCTAGATGGAGGTTGGACATGCCAGACTAAAAATCACCTCTTTTTGTCCTCTCCACTCCATCCAGACCAAGTTTCCATTTTGACATTAAGATGTGAATCACTGAGCTGTGAAAAGTGTTCCAATGCTAGTAGCCTTCTAGGGATACACAAACAACTGACTCATTTTAGTATTTTAATGTTAAACACACTGCCATTATTACCCTACCTTCAACTGGCTAGCCTCAAGAATTCAAGAGAGAAGTACATAAAAAGACATTCACCCAAGTGATTTTCATGACATAAACAAGTGACTCTTTCATCATGGTTAATAACTCCCTACTTGTGTCCAGGCTTTCCAGTGTACAAAACAATTAAGCAATCATTATATCTCATTTAATTTCTACCTCATCTACCAAGCATACACTCCTCACCTTTTTGGTAGATGTATCATCTCTGCTCTTCTTTGGGGGCACAGAGCATGGGCTAGGGTTGCTCCCAGGTTCCAGCCCCTCCCTGGGCTTGGCTTCCTGAGCAGCATCACTTTCCATAGAATCATTATTGCTTGACCTCTTTCTCTTCAGGTTTGTTCCCAGGTCAGGGCTCTTGGCCTCTTCCTCAAACTCTACAATATGTGGATAAAGTTCATTCACCATGTGAAGAACCTGGCCAGGCTGCAGCTTCACCTCTTGATCTTTCCCAATTATGACTGAGTCAATGCTGGTGGGATTGACCCCTACCTATGGAATAAATAATCAGAAAATAGTAATAGTAACACTAACACCATTAGTAAAATAGCCACTGCTGCATTAACCACTTATTGTGTACCAGGCACCCTGCCTGGTGTTCACCTATATTACTCTGTCCCTCACACATGACAGAGCAACCTTTGCTGGCTGGCACAGATACTCCAAAGTCAACAGCATAAAAAAATCAAGCACAAAATGGATATCCATATTACAGACAGACATACCTGCTTTACCTTGACATATCCCTTGTTACACTCTGCTTTCAAATGTACTGAAAGAGATTGAAAAAAGTTAAACACAAATGCTACAAAGAACCAGACACATGCTCCCATTCTCTCTAGAAGACAATGAAATTTCATGCCAACTGGCAACCTTGACAGGTGAGCAAAATCACCTGTTATGCAGGTGGCTGGGGCTCCCAATACCATCAATTTTTAAGAGCTCCAAATCCTTCCACGGTAGGTCCAAAAGCACAACCTCCCTCAGTACTGCTAATACCCCCAGCAGGCAGTTTAACTGAATCCTCACAAGTCTCCCCACCTCAGAGCCCTTGATCCACTTGGAATTACAGACTCAGCAGGTAGGGAAGGGGACCCACTTCTCACAAGCTCTTGACTCATTAAATCAGGTTGCCACTATTACATAAAACTTTCAGAAGCCTTCAACAGAGAAAAAGTTAAGAGATACATTTCTGGAAAACAGAAGTTGACCTGGCCTTGAATAGAAGAACAGGAGAAAATGTTCTATTAAGAGAAGTATAGGGCTAAGACAGTCTGAATATGTGTAGGAACATTGATAATATTAATACTGGAGTTCAGAAGAGTCTCATAATAAACATAGATAAGGAAAAAACATTTTTGGCGTGAGTTAGGGAGCAAAGAAGAGAGACCACAGCTGTTCTCTAGGGAGGACAGGTTGACATATATGCCTCTATAGTTGCTGCTATGAGAGACAGACAGAGAAAAAGCAGCAGTGTCTTAGAGCTTTGACTGTTCAAACATGGCTTTCTTTTTTTTTTTTTTTTTCCCCCATGTAGATTAACTCCTGTGGGAAAAACCATAATCAGCACTACAGAATCCAACCTTTGGGAAAACCTGCAGGTGGGAAGCCTACCTGCAATTACCATGTCCAGAGTTTACAGGGAGAAAATAAGGCACATGGTAAAGCTTTTTCCTAAGGACTTTCATTAAATCCCAGAAAAGGCATTTTCAGAGTTGGATGCCAAAGTCTCATAAAGAAAAATACCATCCTGTGTGTAAGGCAATGTGTAAAGGATGGAACCACCCTATCACTTCTTAGACAAAATTTCAGCCTGAAGATTCCAAAATTCAACTGTCTCACTGCCCAGCAAGAAATCTCTCTATGTAAAGCAGAGTGCGGGATTCAGTGCCCAAACCCCGTGGTAACAGGATAGACTGTGACTATTCCCAATGCTGCACCCACCCTACCACAAACGTTAAACTTTCAGAGAGTGGAATCAGGAGTGATTGGGGCCATGACAAAAAAAAAGGGTTTTTCCATCAAGAAATGTACATTTTTGGTTATCATTATGTTAAAGAAGAGAACAGGGTAATCCCCATGTTCTTATGGCCAGTTACCTTGCTGGCGGGAACATTTCTTGTCTGTGATCTTGGTCTCTGGGCCACGCCCAACCACAACTACTTCCAGATGTGGAAGTTTGATTCGCAGGTGTCGGTTGTCCTGTCTCACCAACCAACACACCCGCATCATTACTCTGAGAGACAAAACAGAAGAGAATTGTTGAAAAACGAGAAAAACTAGTGCCAAGTCCTCCAGGGCCTGTGCCAGCAGCACCACACGTGCCATTTACCAGCTGATCATCTTGAGACTAGATACCTCCCTTGTCTCAATTTCCTCACCTGTAAAATGCCATAATGACAGGACTCATGCAGCTGTTGTGAGGATTAAATGAGATATTGTGGGTAAAATGTTTACCCTGTACCTGAATCATGCAAGCTAAGCAATCAAATGTTTGCTATGATTATTGATTGATGTACTCTTCTGTGCTAGACATTAGGCTACCTGCTGAGGATCAAAGAATGACTAAATGTTGTCCCTACCCTTGGGAGTGTGGTGAGGCAGACAGACTCAAGTACTTATTATTAACACACATGTAATAAGCACTATAAGAAGGGAGCATTAGCCCAGGAAAGGAATGACTTATTCCTGTGGGGAGTATTAAAAATTGCTTCCTGAGGAAGGGGTATTTATGCTGGGTTTTAAAAGACAAGGAGTTGGCTTGACAGAGAACTGAAAACAAAAGAGGATGTTCTTCAGTCCACAGACATCTTAACGTTTATGCGGTTTCCCTTCCTTGTCATAACAGTTTGATGTTAGAACAATACATTTTACTGCCCCCTACCAGAAGACTGTCATAATAAATACAGAAACCTGTAATTTCTGAAGTGTGAATGTAGCACCTATGTGCAATATAAACCCAGCAGAGCAGTGGAGGTTCTGTGCTGCTTAGAAAAACATTTATGGCCAAGTAGAGTATCAGTAGAAAACAGAGAGACAAGACATATGGGAGAGAGATGAGTCCTGAACAAAGTCAGAATAAAAGAGACAGAGAAGAGTCAAAAGAAACTGTGAAGGTGGACTTACTACTGAGTACATCTGGAGAATGATAAAGGAGTACAGGGAAACAGCAACCAAGATTTCTAATTCGAGAGTTACTATTAACCAGAATGAGGGATACACAGAAATAACCTGGGGATAAATGGGGGTGAAGAAGGGACAATTTCAGATTAAAACAAAATTAGATAAAGTTTAATCTGAAGTTGTACTTTTTAGAATTAGAATACTGGGTCTTGTACTTTTATTCTGTTTAAATAAGAATTAGTTCAGGATAGCTAACAAGAAAAATAGCTGACTTGATCTCCTCAGGTTTTGTGGCTAATCTGTAAAAAAAAAAAAGAGGCCCCAAATTATTAAATTCAAGTCAGAGAACATGAAGTTTCCTAGTCAGATAAACTTGCTTGAGAGGTAAGGCCTAAACAAGTGAGACTACAATCTCTAACAATAGTCTATCAGACATTTTTGGTAACTTGAAACATTAGAACTGTTAAAGTGATGGGGTAAAGTAAAGATTTGTTTCAGGAAAAATGATCTTACTGGTTTAATTCCAGATTAATTGGATTGAGGATTCCACCCCTGGGAGAAACTGAAATCTGGATTTTAACATAGGTAACTCCATTTTGTTTTTTGGTTTTTTTTTTAAGATTTATTTTTTATACAAGAACCGGGGTACAGGCCAGATGTGCAGGATGGTGAGAGGATTCACCAGAGACAGAGCAGGGAACAGGACAGACTGACGAAACACACTGCTGAGGGGAGCAGTGGGCAAGACAGGAGAGGTCTGTTGCTCCATGTGGGAGTCTTGGGGCTGGCCAGGATTGAACCCACACTGCAGAGGCTGCAGACAGCTTCACAGTGCGGTGCTCAATTGCCTGCACCACCAGGGAGGCCCCGGTAACTCCACTTTGTATCTATTTCCTTCACCTTTAGTGTTTCCAAATCTCTTTTGGAAAATTAAAGTTTTACTAATTTAATAATGAGAATTCATTAATATCGAGGTCATTCTTACTAAAACTTAGGTTTCCTTTTGGCTCTGTATGGCAAGGAAACTAAGAATTTAATGTCTATAAACAAAATGTGCTTTGTGATACCTAAAAAATTTAAAGCACTGGAAACGTTCTGTGTAAATTCTTTCATGGGATAATGGTGTACAATCTGGAAATTAGGAAATTTAGATTTAAGGGTTGAGCTCTAATTAAAGTATAAAATTAAAGCTAGAGGAAATAAGGGAAATTCTGTATGTAAAGAAAGTAAGATGGGGCCTCCCTGGTGGTGCAAGAGGTTAAGCACCGCACTATAAAGCAATCCGCAGTCTCTGCAGCACAAGTTCGCTCCCCAGCAGGCCAGAGAGAAATCCACATGGCGAAGCAAACCTCTCATGTCTCGCCCGCTGCTCCCCTCAGCAGTGTATTTCAGTCAGTCTGCCTGTTCTGTTCCCCACTCTGTCTCTGGTGAATCCTATCACCCCCCACATCACTGGCCTGCTGAGGATCGAGCTGTACCCCAGCTCTTGTTCGCATAAATAAATAAATCTTTAAAAAAAATAAAAAAGAAAAAGAAAGTAAGATGTATTCAGTAAAAATGGGGGGGGAAAGTATGAGGAATATTTTTTTTTTTTTTAAAGAGGCATGTGTTTTTATTTATTCGTTTGTTTTGTTTATACATGCACTGGGTACAGTCAGAAGCGCGGGAGGGTGAGAGAATTCACCAGAGCCAGAGTGGGGAGCAGAGCAGGCAGAAGGACTGAAGTACACTGCTGAGGGGAGCAGCGGGCGGCAGGAGAAGTCTGCGCGCCATGTGGGACCCTCCTCTGGTGGCCGGGGAGCAGCCGGGGATCGAACCGGCGCCTCAGAGGCTGCGGGCAGCTTTGCAACCCAGCGCTCAACCGCTGCGCCACCGGGGAGGCCCATGAGGAATATTTTTTGAGGAAAATATTTGATCTCACTGAAACTTGTTATTTTTGGAATGGAATGATATAAAGAAAACATGATTCTAAAAAGAACACAGTAGGATTATGAGAGAGTTATCTCAGAAAAAGAACTGTATGTGGTTAAGCTAGATAAGATGAAATGGCTCATTATAAGGGTGGGTTTTTTTTTTTTTAAGATTGATTTATTTGGGCCTCCCTGGTGGTGCAGGCGTTGAGCGCAAGGCTGTGGAGCTGTCTGCAGCCTCTGCAGTGCAGGTTCGATCCTGGCTGGCCTATGAGATACCAACATGGTGCGGCAAATCTCTCCTGTCTTGCCCACTGCGCCCCTCAGCAGTGTATTTCGGTCACTCTGCCTGTTGTGTTCCCCGCTCTGTCTCTGGTGAATCCTCTCACCCTCCCACACATCTGGCCTGTACCCCGGTTCTTGTATAAATAAATAAATCTTTAAAAAAAAATGATTGATTGATGCATACAAGAACTGGGGTGTAGGCCAGAGGTGCAGGGAGTGAGAGGATTCACCAGAGACAGAGTGGGGAGCAGAACAGGCAGACTGCCTGAAATACATAGCTGAGGGGAGCAGCAGGGAGAAAGGAGAGCTCTGCTGCACCAAGTGGGTTGCTCTCTGGCCAGCGGGGTATCGAACTTGTGCTGCAGTGGCTGGGGAGAGCTTCACAGCACTCTCTTTTTAGTCCCTGCACCACCAGGAAGGCCCTATAAGGGTGTTTTTTAATTAAGTTTTAATACCAGTAGTGTACTTATGTAAAACACAACTTTAATTTTCTTTCATCTGCCAAAGGGATGGAAGTATTCTTAAACTAGATTGCAGACTGTTAAAGTAATATAGAGATCTGGTACTTCAAAATTATTGGCTAGCGAGAAAGAAATGTGGTCCTGTCAGCAATGTCTTAAGATTGTCAGAGAAACAGATTTGTTCTTAAAAATCTGTAACTGTCCCTCTAGGTAATTAAGTATTGTTTCATAAGGATCAAGCACTCATCCATGTGAAACCAATGTTCTGAAAGTCTTTAATTGATTAGAAAGAAATGTGAGAGGTCTTGGAGGGATTCCTAATGCACCCTATAGAACTGTTCTCTCCCCTTATGGAAAAAATATTGAGCAATTTGGGCCATTTGAGAATGTTGAAACTTCATGGGAAGCAGTCATGTAAGAAGAAATGTTAAACCTTTCAGCATGTGTTAATTATGAGTATTAATAATAATAGTATTCTAAAATTACGTGAAATTTCTTGAAAGTCAGATATGCTCTGGTGTAATAGTATTACACCACTGGTTGGTTCTAGTTATTTTAACACTACATCAGAAAATTGAGCAAACTTCCTTGTCAATTGTGTTGTAGTCGGATTTTAAATATAGTCATTTTAGAGTCTTTTGCCGTTAACAGAAGTTACTACTCTGCTTTATGTTCAAAGAGACACATAGGAAAAGCACTCTGGCAAATATTCTAGAAATACAGGTTTATTATGGAACTCAGTATGAGAAGTCACAGAGCTTATGGGAAAAATAGACTAATAAGAATTGCTAACAAAATAGCAAGATTTTCCACATGGGACTAAATGAACTATGGAGTACTAATATAATTTTTAAGGACATTTTGTTTGAAATATTACTGAGTTTTTTATGTTTTGCTTTTTCCTAATTTAACAAAAAAAAAATTTTTTTTTGAGTTATGGCCTGCAGCAATGGTAAACTGGATATTTTTGAGTACAGAACTGAAGAATTTGCTTCTTCTCTCCCCAACAGTCCTAAAATGTGGAAAATTTTAGTGAGTATTTCTATTTCTCATTGCAATGTTTATTTGCATAAATCCATTAAGACTCTTTTTTTCCTCTATAACAGACTACTGGAAGCATGGTTGTATACCATAGATTTGACAAGTATGTCATGTTTGGGACCATCATCTTCAGGAATTCAGACTGATTTACGTGCCTTCAAAGACAAGACAGCCTGAAAGCCTTGCTTTCAGGGTTACAGGCCTATCAGGAAGGAGTAGGGAAGGTCACCCCTTGGCAGTTCCAGAGCTCCCAGGACATTCTGAGGATCTCAAGAGGAAAGGATGCAGGTGCACAGGTAAAATCTGAGGTAAGAACTTGGCAAGGCCCGAAGTCCTGGGAGATCAATGATAACTCTATATAGAATTCCTTATGAAAAGTTTCAGCAAAGCACATTTTAAAATTTGCTTTGTTCTTG